ATGGTAAAGTTATCGTAACGATATAGATTCGATATCGAATCTATATCGTTAGAATTTTTTGAGTTTCTGTAAAGTAGTTCTTAATATACTAATTTTTATTAGATATATAAAATTCCTGGTAAAGTAAAATTATTAGCTTAAATGAATAATATATTATTTAATGAATTAAGCTATACAAAAGTATTTCCTAATATACATTTTTCATTAGATATATAAAGAACTCAATAGGGTAGAATCATTAAACTTAAATTTATTAGATTTATTATAAAGAGAATTAGAATATTTTTTTTATTAAACTTATATGATAGATAAGAAATTTAATGAGTTAATGTGCATAGAAATAGATTTCAACATACATATTTTTATTATACTTATGATGGGAAATTGAAACAATTAGACTTAATTGCAAAATTTTCATTAGATTTATTTAATCTTTATGCTATTTATTAAGCTAACATATGCAGAATCAGTTTTAGTTATATATTTTTCATTAGAAGATATTAAGACAGTTAGATTTATTTGTAAAAATTTTTCATTAGACTTTTAATAAAAAGATGCTAATTAATAAGCTAAACTATACAGAACTAATTCATCAATTTTACTTTTATATGATAAATATGATTTCAGGCCAAAATATGTTCAAATTTAGCATTAACTTGGAGAATGATCGAGAAAAACGATATGAGGACGAAATAGAACTTGTAAATTATATTTTTCCTATTTTCACAAGGACTTTTATTGGATTTATAGTTTAATTAGTACAAAAAAACAAAACGTACCATATACATACTAAACCAATAAAATGATGAGACGGATTAGGAAATCTAGCTAAGGAATTTGTAGAGGTACAAATCGGGAACAAATCGGCGTAATTAATTATTTTTGACACCTATTGCAATTTAATTTTAGCACGTTATCCAAACAGAAATTGAGCCATATAAAGCTGGAAATAATTAAAGTCATCAGGATACGACAGTGTTGGAGTTCTCCGTGCCCATATCCAAATTTTATAAGCCTAGATATCAGCTTCAGCAACCTATTTCCGCCATGTATCTCAGGGAGCAGTTAGTTGGTGACGACATTTATATGTGTCCTGAAAAATCTGAACTGAGCAGAGCCTCTCGCACCATTAAAGATCTGTAAGTAAATTTATGATTCATATTTTGAGAATAGATAAATAATTAACTCTTTTTATTATATTTAGACAAGAACTACTTACTGTACCTACCCTTTTTGATAAAAATAATTGTTCGAAAGACATGTAATGTTGTAAATTCCTATATCCTAATTGAATCACTTCGTAACATTGGAGGTATGCGTTTTCTTACTTTAGATTTTCAAAGATTTTGTTATTAAATGAACTGGCGAAGAATTTCAAAAAAATCGGTTACAAATAGTATGTATCATTTATGAATGATATCTCGAATTCTCCACAAAACAAGCAATTTGTTTGGGAAAAACATCAATAATTCGTCTTATTAGTGATTATGTAATAACAATATTTGTTATTATGCTGGCATCGGAAAAAAATAAAGTTTAGTTTGATAATGCACTACATCAAATTTTACTGCGCCCTTGTGACAACAAAGATAACAAATCCTATTTAAGAGAACTAACTATTCTTTGAATGTCGAACTTGTATGCGGTGAAAATCAAAAAATCGGTTAATCTAAAGATTTAATTATCTAATACAAGCTTGCATACAAAAAATTCACGATCTCCAAGATTAATTAATCACACAATTTTCTTTTTTTTTGATAACTCATCATCGTTATTTAATTTTAGAACGGGTTTTTTTTAAAAAAAAAAAAGGTACTAAAACCGGTATCCTGCATGAAAATTTCCGTAATAATCGTTTTCTTCTCTTTTTTGTTTTCCCAAAATATTACTTTTTATAAAAATTTATCTCAAAAATATTCATTAAAAAAAATTTTTATTATAAATTTATGTTGCGTTATAGGACTGTAAATATTAAATAAAAAAAAATATAGTTTGTGTAGCATAGTCTTTGGCTCAATGGTCTAGTAGTATGATTCTCCGTTCGGGTCGGAGAGGTCCCGGGTTCAATTCCCGGTTGAGCCCAACTTTTATTCCACTTTTTTCCTCTTTTATTCATTAAAGAAATGAATTTTGGTTTTATTTTCAATTCTTTCGAATTTTAAAATCAATCTAAATGTTAAATTACAACAGAGGAGGGAGTCAATTTTGATACATGATTATAAATCAAACCATTTTATAAAAGTTGCAAGAAAAAAATTACGTTATTTTCTTAAAGTTCTAAGTTTTAATCATTAATTTTTCCGTCCGAAAATAGTAGTGACTCCATATATTTTTCTTGGTGGATTTGTAAACTTTTTTTTTTTTTTTTTTTAAAAAAAAAAAATAATAATAATAATAATATACCAATACGTCTAAGAAAATAAGAAAAAAAATAAAAATAAAAATAAAAATAAAATAAAAATTAGATCATCAATCATACATCTGTAACACATTAAAAATCAAAAATTTTAAATTTTCCAAATGAAGATTATTATTGTTACAAATACATAAACGTGGATTCTCTTAATTTTCTTTCATTTTCACATAAAAAATGGCACATAGTTTTTTGCATTCATCAAATAGATCTTCAAATAAAAAATACAAATTTTACAAATTTCAATATGAAACTTCGTCAAATATCAAAGTATTTCATGGGTATTTAAATCCATCATGGAATTATTCTATCATATCATTAAATAGATTATCAGACCACGGATTAGACATTTCTAGAATTAAACTTAAACCAATAACAAGTTATACTATTACAAGAGATAATAAATTGAAAAATATTGTTGGTATTTGTGAATTATCGATTATATTTGAGAACAATGGTGTTCGAGAGAGAAATGATGGAAGTATTGGTGGATCTACTTATTCGTATAATTATGAAAAAGTTGAAAAGAAAATAAGAGAAGTTTTGGTATTGAAAGAATCTAATGTGGAATTTAGATTAGGAAATGATTTTATTAATGATTATAATATTGATATTGAACCTAATATTAAAGGGAAGTTTACTCATCAATTGAGATTTGAAGATGGCGTTACTGTGGGTTTAAAAGTGACTGAAACTGATGGTAAGTCTTTATAGTGTTGTGAATATTTAAGCTATATAAATTTGTTTGAAAGAAAATTTAACATGTTCGACAAATATATCTATTTTTTTTAATCTAGTAGAACGTGACGAGGAAATGAGTGATGAAGATTATGTCAATGAGAACAATAAAAGCACAGACGACAAGATTAAAGAGAATTCAGAGCACATATTTAAAAATTCTTTGTTCAAATTGATTTCTCGAATAGGATTATCTAACCTTTTCATTCTATTTCTAATTTCGACAATTTTAATTTTGTATAATTTTGATACTAAGGTAAACGAAATCTTTTTTATTTTTTTTTTTATTTTTTTTTTTATATGATTTTTCTTTTTCTTTTTCTTTCCTTTTTTTTTTTACTAATTTATTTATTTGTGTGAATTGAAAATTTTTATCAGTCTCAATCATTAGTTGAGGAATTACTTATTATACCTTGTATGTTAAATTTTATTTAAATTCTATCTAATTTTTTTCCGCTTTATAACATTAAAATTTTTTTTTAAAAAATAATTCGTTGCTATAAAGACAAATTGCCTGAACCTGGGATACAAAATCAACTTGAAAGCTATGCAAGAAAATTAAAAACCACCACATCATTTTTTGAATTATACGAACTGAATCAACATCAAATTCCGTCAAATGAAACATCAAAAACACAAAAAGAAGAGGAAAAACGAGGACAAGAGTTATACTCGCATCTAGTAGAATTTACGACAAGCGTAGATAATACATCAAGAATGTTATTGGATATGTATTATCAAGAATCATCGTACCTTTGGTTATTTCAGCAAAATATTAAAAGATTATTAAAATATTTTCCGTTAAAAAAAGGATCTAGTTTTCTCTTGATAGTACTTATTACAGGAGGAAGTGATTATTTTCCATTAACAAACAATTTCGACGAATTAATCGATGATATTGATGAAGTTATTATTAATAATATTGATTCAGTAATGAGAGAAGTGGACAAAGCACAAAATTACCATGATGCGATTATTCTTCAAATAGAAAAAATGAAAATCGAATTAGAAAAATTTATTATAGACAGTAGTAAACCATTTTCTTCTTGGTTAAATGCTTTAATAAGATTTGCTAAGATAAAAGGTGGAAAAATTGATAATTTAGGCGAAGTAGATTATGACACGGCTTTAAAGGTTGAAAAATTATTAATAGCTTTAAACATTGATTTATTTGAAATTTCGACTTTTTTTACATTTTTAAAAGTTTATTTAGACAATCATTTAAATGATTTATTGTTATTTTCTGAACATTTTAGGATAACTAAAATTACAAAGAAAATAACTGAATCTGAAATTAATGTAATTCAAAAACATTTAGACAAATTACAAAATAATCATAAAGCTATATTTGATACCATTTTGGCGACGGTGGACAATGATAGTGATAATGAATCTTTGGTTGGGTGTAGAATTAAAAAAAAAATTAATCAAAGCATATTCGAATGTAGTGATTAAAAAAGGGTAAAAAGTTTTAGAAATAATAAATAGAATTTATAAAAACCATTTATTTAATTATATGTTTTAATTGTTTTATATTAATTTTTTTTTTTAAAAAAAAAAAAAAAAATAACTTTAGATCTTATAACTTAGTTTTTTATATTGAAACATAATCAAACAACTTAAAGACTTTAAGATATTTTATAATAATTTAATTTATATATATATATATTTTAAATATGATTTTCTAAATAAAAAGAAAATTATATTATTAAATTTAATATAATTTATAATTTATACTAAAACTTTTATAAGTTTAATATAAGAAATATCTTATAAAAAATATAATTTATTATAACTGTATTAAACATTTTAATATATATACAATATAATATATAAATTCAAGCCAAAAATTACATATATTTTTATAACTCATATATACATAAGTAATTTTAATATGCACAAATTTTTTTAAAATAGATATACATAATATATATACCATTAAAATATCAAAAAGATATATATAATATGTATATAGATAAAATTTAATATATATATGCTTAATATCAATTATGATATTTAATTATAAAAAATCACAAAAAAAATTAATTAATAATTATAACTATTTTTGATTAAATATAAGAATTCCATTCAAGAAATATATGCTTTTTCATAATTATAATTACTAAAATCTTTAAGAAAAAAGTAAATAAAAATTTAATATTTGAATTGACATTTTATTACATAAATTAATCTTAATTAAATGTTAATATAAAATATATATTCAATAATACCATTTATTAAGGCTAATTCAATAAGTTTTGTTAAATTAGAAAATTGATCATAAAAACTAATATTATTATTTAAAACTACAATACTATACTATGAACAGATAAAATGTGACAGAATCTATATAATGTAAATGATTGATAAATATGACATGTCTAACATTTCTGACATTTCTGATATATCCGATATATTAGTTATATCTTTCTATATATTGTATTTTATATAAATAGATAGCTTTTTAGATCATATAAAAAATAGGATTTGACAAGTCAGTTTTTTAGTAATTTTTAGAAGCAAACAAACCTATTGTATTACACTTTGGTTTTAGTATTTTATTTCTTTATTTTCTTTTTTTTTCTCTTGTCATCTCTTTTATTTTCTCTATTTTTTATTTTCTATTTCTTATTTCGTTAATAAACATTTTACTTTGAAATATAATTACTTGGTATATTACAAATTGTTATTTATGAAATACTTATATAAACCTTTTTCTGAATTTAATCGTAAAAGCAAACTTGTAAAGTGTTAAGATTACTGTGTAATTAAAAGAAATAATGCTCTAATATCTCGTCTAACAGTTATAGTTCATAAGAATTACACATTAATATTTAACGATGATGATAGGATCCTCTTTTCTTAATTAGCATAGTAATAAGTATATTATATGAATTTATTTGAAAGTATATTTAAGCACCAGAGATTACATTATCAGCAATATCTTAGGAAGGAATGCAAAATTGTATACATCACTTTTTCATCAAATTTCTTATGTATTAAAAAAATAGTCAAAAACTTTAATTAGCTCAAATATCTACTACTTTGCACAATAACATCATTTCTATAAATGAGTGTTTATCTATAACAAACAACTTTTTATACTCTTGACCAAGCTCTTCAATTAATTATTCAAGTAAACAACAAAACTTCTGTCTTTTCTTTATCTCTTCACTCAGACTTATTTAAGTAAGTAACTTGTCTATAATAATTCAACCTCAAAATTAATCCTACATGACTAAACTATTAAAACTATAACTATTAGTAAAAGTCCTTAATCTGAATTTCTATATGATGATGACAATAGAAATTCCACCTATAATGATTATCAACTAAATGATACTATTATAGCCTTATAAGAAATTTATATACGAAATTATATACGGTAATAATACGTTTTAATATTCATAAAAAATGTATAAAATATACTGAAATTATATATAATATGTATGTAATTATTATGTATACAAAATAAGGAAATTGTCAAAATTACAAATATATAAAATTCGTAAATTACATATATTGTATAAGCTATTTTAGTATATTAGATACGTTTTATCTATAAATATTTTTCAGTACATTAGATACATTATTTTCAGTATATTTGATACGCTATATTTCAGTACATTAGATACGTTATATTTCAATACATTTGATATGCTATATTTTAATACATTTGATACGCTATTTTTCAGTACATTTGATACGCTATTTTAGTACATTAGATAAGCTATTTTTCAATACATTAGATACGTTATTTTTAGTATATTTGATATGCTATATTTCAGTACTTTTGATACGCTATATTTCAGTACATTTGATACGTTATATTTCAGTACATTAGATACGTTATATTTCAATACATTAGATATGCTATTTTTCAGTACATTAGATACGCTATATTTTAGTACATTTAATAAGCTATTTTTCAGTATATTAGATACGTTATTTTATAATTTTATATTTATTATACATTTTATTTATTTATTATATATTATAAAAATATTTATTATTTTATTTATATATAAAATTATTATAAAAAAAATAAAAGAAAATTAATTATAAAAATGTATTTATTTTTTATTAATTTGATATCAAATTTTAAGTATTTAAATTGTTTAATTAAAAAAAATGTATATTTAATAATTTTATATTA